AGATCAGCAGTGTCAGTCAGGTGAGATGTTGTAGGTGGTTGGAGTAAATGAAGCTGAAAAGAGAGGGTCGAGTGTGGATTCAGTCGACAGTTTGACAAATGAACACTGATCTTAGTCAAACGTTAAGGAGAAAAATACAACCAAGAATACACACTGTATTAGTTGTGAGGGGAAAAGCATACTGATCACACATTTTCTATTTGTTGTAATTGTTCCGTCAAAGCTGTGGCCGCTGCAGTGAGATGGTCTGTCACTCTTCAGTGGCTGAAAAGAGTTTCTCACTGAAGATTAGCCATTTATGGGCTACATTAACCACGTAGTCCTGCTGACCACCACATTCACTCTGTCGCACAGCAATAGCATCCAGGGAAATAGGTTTGAAGGGGAACATCAGACATGAGCTAACTGAGACACAGGGGGCTCCTGAGCCGGTTTCCCAGTATGCACTGTTTCTATTGGACTGATGAAAATCTGATGGAGCACAGAGATGAGCTGACAGCAGTTTTACTGAAAAAGGGCTGGATCAGCTCTGAGGTACTGCCTCCAACCAACGTCTCCCCTGGCTTATTTCACTTCAAATATGTGAATGAATCTTGGGGATTTGGGCTTTTCAGCTGCAGCTGGGAATTGATTTTTATGTCACATATATTATATGACATGATTATTTGCACAGATTTTCCAGTATTTAAAAGTAATTGTATTCTAGGTTTTGAATTTTTATAGATCTGATGTAAAATATTTTTTTAACCTGTGTGTCAGGGTCTCAAAAATGACAGAGCGTCATGAATATACTGTATAAACCTGCAGAAGAGCTGCCATCATGTAGGCAGGTTGTCCACTAAGTTGGATCTGCCCAGATAAGGAGAGCTGCCATCATGTAGGCAGGTTGTCCAGTAAGTTGGATCTGCCTCATTAGCAGCACCGACTCTCAGGAGCCAGGAGAGGGGGCCTCCTGAGTTCAGCCATTTACTTGTGAAGCTTCATGGCTTCAACTCATCCTGCAGTTAACTGACTGGCACAGAGGACCCATTACCCTGGGAATGCTCCTTGTGTTCGGTGTCTCCACTGTTCTTATGCCATACTTGTCTCAGTAGTGCAGTAAGAAAGAAATCTCTTTGTTTTGTTTCAAACGCTGGCCACAGTTTAAAACAGGAACAAAATAGATTGAGCATTAGATGCTGAATCTAAAGCTAAAAAGCAGTGGTTAAATATTTGGGTTTGTAGGGTGGGACAGGGAAATTGTTATATTTGTTTTTACCCTTGATTAGTTTTACATCTAAATCTTAACCCCTTTACTGACACTAACAGGTAAAAGGGGAAGAAATAGAAGCCTCAGCAGAGACCGAGTGACTAAATAAAAACGATACTTTTTCTGATGCTGTACCAGTATTAACCTGTGGAGGGCAGTGTTGCTCTAAACATGAATACACGGCAAGCCTAATTAGAGGGTGTTGGAAGTCTTGTGCTCCTTCCTAGGATCACAATTCTCTGTATAAACGTTGAATAATGTGTTAAAAATGCACATTTTTTTAATCTTACTCAGATGAGACCAAACAGAGGTGATTGATTCTGTGGCATCAAGTTCAAATATAATGTTTGTTGTTCCTTCAGATGAGCAGATTGGTGAGGTTTTACAGTCATTACAGTCAAAGTACTGTATTTCTAAAAGCCAAGGGCATGAACAAAGACACGTGAGGCTCTAAAATATCCTGCTCCTGTCCTTGTGTTTCAGTATTTCTCCACATTGAACAGGTGTGACCCGAGAGGAATACTTGCTTCAGGCCTTCAAACACTAGCATGTATCCACCTCCTGTGGCCTGGTTTTATCTGAGTCAAACCATTAGCCTGCAGTCAGTGGAAGTCAACTGCTGTCATCCATTGATCTGCTGGTGGGCTGGGACAAAGGGCACTGAGATAAACAGGCACCTGCTGGTGTTTGGGCTTGTCAGAGCCGTTCTGAACACAACAATGATGTCTTTTGTCTGTTCCTTTCCCCCTGCCTCCTTCAGATCAGCTGTTCCACGTGCTGGCCATGCACATGCGCCTCTACAGCATCGACTCTGCCTATAACCCCTGGACTAAACTGACTCAGATTATACAGAGCAATGAGACAAAGTAAGTAGCTGTAACTAATGTACCTACAGAATGACTATTTTTAAGTAGAATTTTCTTTTTTTTTCCCTCTAGCAAATATTCTTCTCAGAAAAATGAGAGTTGTTGAACAGTTCGTTGGTCTTTGAGTTTCTTAGAAATGAATACACATATATATTAGTGTAGGTTTTTTCTCTTCCATATTTCAAATTTTTGCTTCATGTTCAAGAACTTCCTTTCATGCTCTGTGAACATATTTTTGCTCCACATAAAAAGCTTCAGGATTTGGAAGCATTATATTTTCTCACGTCAGCTCACATTTTGCACGAACTCGAGTGTCTGTACCTTTAACTCTTTACCCTTTCCCTCCCTCCCTCCTCCCTCCTTCCCTATCAACATGGAATCAAAGAACCACTTTGTTCTTTCCTTAAATATCTCCATTTTCCCTGCTGCTCCAACAGATTTCCCTCCTCACAAAGACTAGCTTAAAAAAGAGACTGCACGTGGTTTCCATAGAAACCGGTGATTGCTGCATCTGGCAAATTACCGGGCCACTCACAGAGAACAGAATGACCCTGTCAAATCTACTGTACAGAGAGCAGCAGCGGCAGCAGCACACCAACACCAGAGCAGCTCACTATTTTAGAGCACTGTGTGGTGTGTGTAGGTGAAAAACGATCAAATACAAATACGTGGAATCAAAGGACCATTCTGTGTGTTCATTGAACCATCGTCATGTTTTTATATTGTGGGCCATCTTCATTTACATGTCTGCTGTTCTTATGACAAATCAACGAGACTTCAAACCCCACTTTACTCTTGAAAGGCCTCGGAGGGGAAGGGGGAGTGTGTGCTGAATGAGTGGCACTGCACTACTAGAGCACTCACCAGTTAATTTCACTGTGCGTCTGAGAAAAACCATAAAGGACACAGTTTACAAAGCCTGCCCAGACTAATGCACACAATCTATACCCGCACGCTGTCAAACAGCCATCCATTACTCCCCTCGTGTTTCTGTTTGTTTTCACCTTTTCTTTACATAAACCCTTTCTCCATGTAGCCTATATAGGAACATCTCTCTTTGTCCCATTTAACTGGGCCAGATCAGGTTGACCGCCTCGGGGCGTTGGTGACACTGCTCCCTCCTCAAACCCTGACAGAGTATTTTTAAACAGCAAATGGCTCCTCTGAGAATACCGCATGGCTGTGGGCGCTTTAGTGGTAACAGGTTTAAAAGCTGTCTTACAGCACTAACAGGGAGGAGAGGTTGTTGAATTAAGTGCTGAATCTGTGCAGAACAAGAGGTGTTCTGTTGTGATTCAAGACAACAAAGTGAGGAAAAACTCCATCTAGAGGAGAGAGAACGGTTATGAAAAATGCACTGCCTTTTCTCCTGATTGAAAAAAAAAAGTCTTAACATCCTATATAACCTTGATGTGCCTCAAAGAAATATGACTTTCCCTTCCTTTAAGCTTGGACTTTCAGCAGAACTCAGGTTAAAAAAAACGATACATCGAGTGAGGAAATCATTTCAATATTTTCAACCTGAACGTCAAATGGTTGTAGAACATTTAACGTAGAGTAGAATTAAATAAAAAAAAAAAAAGGCAGAGGAGTTTTCGAGCTAATAAAAAGGAACAAAAAGAACAACAGTTCTAACACTGCAGTGACGTCTTCACCATACAGCTCTGTGAGGGTAGGAGCACCAGACTAATAGAAGCACAACTTTGCGTACGTATATTAACATAAGTTGGTTTTACATCATATGACGAAGGTCAACAAGGACATTGAAAGATTATAAAATATTTCAAAAAGATGAACAAAAATAATTATAAAGCTCTTTGTTTGTTTGTTTGTTTTTTTTGTCCACAGTAGTTTTGATGACGAGAGACCCGAGGTGCCCATGTTGTTTCGTGACGTGCCATCCCTCCTCATCATCTTCGTGCTAACGATGCCGCAGCCTCTGAGGAAAGGTATGGTTTCACAGCAATGTTCAGTGGCTGCCAACTCGGTCAGGCTCTGGTGTCAGGGTAGCTGTGGCTCAGTGCAGGATGTTCTCCCTTTATGTTTTCTGAGGGTTTTTTTTCTCATAGTTAATCAAATAAGGTTAACGGACGGTTCGTCTTTGTATTTGATTCCTTGTTTTAATTCTAAAGCTCAGTTCTGTGTATTGACGTCTGTCTCTTGTACTTTACTCTGACAGCAAACAAGTGTCAGTCTTTGTTGTTTGTTTGTGTCACCGACCAAATCACCTTTCAGGCTACATTTTCCACCTGACACAACCTGCTAATTATCCTGCTCCCTGTTGGTTTAGCAGTTAAAATCCATCCAATCACAGCGGTCCAGTGGATAACTGACAAATAAACCTTCTGACACTTTTTATGCTACTTGGAACAATTATTTTCTCAGAAATTCACTTTACTTTATCTGTCCTTTTTTTTCTACAGAACATTTCACCTGCGTGGTCAGGATGCTGTACAATCTGCAGTTCGTCCAGGCCCTGTCTACTCTGTCAACCAAGTTCAGCCCAGAGGAGAGACAAGCCTGGAGCACATCTGGAGCTCTGAAGAAGGTACAGCTGAACTAACATAAGTCTCCATGACTCCTTGTTGTTTGTGACCTTTAACAATAACTACGGTTGTTCTGATACAAGTAGATACATTGGTAGAAGAATGTTAGAGATGGAGCTACCAGGTAGGAGACAAAGAGGAGATATATGGATGCAGTGAGGGAGGACATGCAGATACTTTAGCGCTATTTTCATGTTTCAATGTAGAAATGAACACATCATTTGGTTAAATAAGTGTCTAAAAAAAGTGACACTGTTAAAAGTGACACTATGATGTTAAACTGGGAAGCGATGTTAGCGTATTCACAGCCGAGACATTAGTGTTTGCCTACTTAAAAATAATAAATGAAGTACCTGTGAAGTAGTTGGAAAACACAACATTGTCTGGCAGCTGAGCTGTTGGTTGTGATGGAAAGCTGCTGTGGCTCACTGGATAATTTGTGTATCAATATTTTAATATATTATTACAGTATTACCGACATCCACTGATATGAAACACAATGGTAGAAATCACATAAATAAAACACATTTATCCAAATTGGGATTTATATATTTTTGGGGGGATCTGAAACTCATTTCTGTTGTTTAAATGTGCGACTCCACACACAGGCTGTTTACTATTGTCTTGAAAAAAACTCCTTGCTGTTGTTTTTATTAATTCTTCCCTCTGACCACAGTCAACTCCCGACTGCAGTAAATCATCGATTGTGACCCAGTATTGAGATGAATTAAGGCCTTTCCCGTTTCATTTATATGCCGTTCCTCAGTCCACTCTATCGATCTTCATTATCTGTAGAAGTGTGATTGCTGGAGAGGACTGCATTAATTGCCTATTTGTTCTCAGTCTATTAAATCTGTATTAGTGAGTGACTGGCTTGAATGTCAGAAGACGAATCGCTGAAACCGTCTCCTCCTCCATCTCCTCTGTTGATTCCATCCATAACAGAGGCCCAGATTGGTATCTTCCTATTATGTGGCCGTGAAGGGTAAAGCAGGCTTTCACAGGCTGCCGTTAAGATGGATTTTTAATTCCACTCTGAGAAAAGCGTCCGTATTTAGTGGAAGATCATGTTAATTAAAGAGGGTTTGTTAGAGATAGAGTCGGAGAAAAGATCGGAATGCCGTGCAGGGAACAAGAAGTAATCCTAGTATATGAGATTCTATGAATGGACAGTTAAGGACAGCAGGCCAGATAAGACCGCTGTTTTATATTCACTTTTCTCAAGCTTGATAAATGTCTGCAGCCTTTTCCATTTATTAAAGACCACAGAGACCAGTTGAATTTTTATCAGAACACACATACAGCAGTGTGTCCTCCTCTTATCAGATGTTATATTATGTGTGGAGGGAATCATTTTCTTTTAGCTTATTCTGCATAATCACAGTGAATTACATTTTTACACCAGGGATAAAGACCAGGACGTCACACATGATGTCTTCTGATATATTACCTTCATAATCTTGGAAAAAGACAGTGATGAATAACAGAAATAGTTTCTCTTTTTTTTTTTTTTGCATTTTTTGTCCTTGGTAAAAGGTCAGTAGATTTTAGACCAATCTCAGCCTACAGATGTTCTTGGGTTTTAAAGAAAGGCCACGTGTGAATTTAGTGATCTCCCAAAAGCTTTTAGTTTTAGTCAGACGGCTTAGAAGTGTACTTACTGTAATTGCTTCAACCTGTAATGTCTTAAACATAATGTAAGAGCAAGGTGAAGTAAAATAATTAAAAATCAATAGGATTTGTGTTCACAGTGAGAGTAGTGGTTTTGTCAAAGAAACCTTTGTTCCTTAATAATTACTTAAAATGTAAAAAAAAAAAAAAAAAGTACACGTACACATCTGTCACATTCATGTACGGTGATGTCCACTTTTACAAATGTACCACGTACTTTGTGATTGTGTTCCACAGAATGCTGCGAACGCTGACCAGTCGTCTGAAGCTCTGCTCTGTCACGTCATCAGCGAACTCTCCAAGGACAGGAGTGTTTTTATGGAGAGCACGGAGGAATCCTCAATGGTGAGAGAGACTAAAATGCCTGTTTAGCACCTCATAACACATCTGCCCGCAGCACTGCTCCCACACTCACACCCTCACTCTGTCATGCGGTCGTTATGCTGAGAGACGTTGCTCTAACATCCAGGGGAGGTATTCATCACAGCATTATCATCGAGCTGTTGTCTGCTTATTGATCAAGCGCTGCTGTTGTTTTTCTGCCAGCTGAGCTCCAGTGTGTGGTCCCCGCAGTCTATCGAGTTCAACCTCCAGCAGTTCTGTTTGCCTTTCCTCCGCCTCTCCTGCCTCCTGCAGCATCATCTCTATGGAGACAACCTAACTGGATGCTCGGTTCGTGGCCACAGAAATGTTTAAATGAACTATATTGTGATTTTTAACACATTTGTCAAATCCTGGACTGTTTGACTTCAACACTGCTGCACTTTGTTGTGTTACACGTGGACAGGAGGAGGAGGAGTTTTCCTGTCTGGCTGCGTGTGTGGGGCTCTTACCCTCGGCCCCTCAGCCTTCCAACACTGTGCACAGTGCCTCATGTCTGGAGTGGGCAGTCGGCGCCTGTGACCTGGTGTCACAGTGGTGTGCTGAGGTGACGGGGCTCTCTCAGCTGCAGACTGAGGAGTCACTGGTACGTGTGGGAGTTTGAGTAAACCAGTGAAATGAAATCAGACATTATTTAATTAACAGAGAATGTTGATGCTTCAAAAAGGCAGTGACAGCCACCCTACTATTACTGACTCTACCACAAATATATGTACCTGTGTATTATTTTAATATCTTTTTTTGTCATAATACATCTCGAGGCCCAGGGTGATATAAAACAAAAATATAAATATTATAACAATATCATCTTATAGTGTAAAGCTGTCCAAAACTGTTCATCTCCACCGTCCATGTCTGACCTCCTGTCTCCTGTAGACCATGCTTGTCCAGGATCCTCAGTGGGCAGCCCCTCGCCTTTTGCAGCTCCCTGACAACTACAACATCATCTTCCAGTACTATCACAGGAAGGCCTGCACTGCCTGCAAAAAGGTGCCAAAAGACCCTGCACTCTGCCTTGTTTGCGGCGCCTTCGTCTGTCTCAAGGGCCTGTGTTGCAAACAGCAGGGCATTTGTGAATGTGTATTGGTGAGTTACGGCATACTTCAAAAATACCTGGAAAAAACTTAAATGAACATAACAGCCAGGACGTTATTCGTAAGTGTTGATAAACCGTACGCTGTTGCCTTTCGTTTGTAGCACTCTCAACACTGTGGCGCAGCTACAGGCATCTTTCTACTAATTAATGCCTCAGTCATCATCATTATCCGAGGACATCGGTTCTGCCTCTGGGGCTCGGTTTACCTCGATGCCCATGGAGAAGAGGACAGGGATTTACGGTAGGGAAAAAACCCTGAAAGAGAATCTGGCTTTAATGTAAACATCTGCTTTGTTGAGCTGGTGTCCCTGAGTACTGAGTACTGTGACCTGTACACGGTGCAGCAGTTTGTTCTGTCTTGTTACACTTAACATATTGTTACAGAAACACATGGTAATATATAACATAACATTTTAGAACATTAAACCAATACAACACATTGTAACAAAAGGAGAGGCAGGGTGTAGGCTGAGATGTAGGTAGATAATCTGCAGTTTGAGTTTTTAAAGATTAAAGATATTCACTGACAAAGTAGCTTAGAGACACAGGTATGTTCGTACATGTACAAGCACTTCATATAATAGAGGAAAAAACCCCACATATCCTTAAGTATTTATGAAAGTAGGATATGATCGTATCGACCTATTAGGAAAATACAGGGTACTGAATATTGAATCAGCTAAAAATATCCTGAAAATCTTTGACAAAATACATTTATAGGGAACACTGTCATGTTGCATTGCAATTGTAAGGATATTTTGAGAAGTGAAATTCATGTCATGCCACTAGCTTCTTTGTTGTTGTACCTGCAGTACATGGTAAGATTACAGATTAGCACGATTTGATCAAAAACAGCAGATTTTCTGCTTTCCAGGTCAAATTGTAAAATATGAATATCTACTAAATCTTTATTAATTATCGGAGTCGCAATAAAGTTTTCTTTTTTGGGATCAAAGTGATAAATGTGTTCCCATTGCATAACGGTGGTTCTGCCTGAATAAACTCTAAAAGACAACAATGGTATGTATTTGAAGCCTACATGTTTTAATATAAACACATGTTACTGACACAGATCTCACTCTTGTTTTCCCCTCTGGTCTTTACTGCAGCCGGGGGAAACCTCTGTTCTTATGTGAGGAGAGGTATCGCGTGTTGGAGCTGCAGTGGGTTTCACACACCTTTGATCACATCAATAAGCGTTGGGGGCCGCACTATAATGGACTCTAAGATCTTCCAAAGCCCAGCTGAAAACGGCGACTCG